CCCAGCCTGTGAGTAGCACCATTCCTGGGCAGGTGGGTCTGGGTTTTTTAAGAAAATTAAACAACCGACACTGAGCAAGGCCAGAGGAAGCAAGCTAGTGAGCAGCATCCCTCCATGATTTCTGCTTGGTTTTCCTTAGTGATGGGCTGTTACCTGGAAGTGTAAAATGATACACCCTTACCACCCCAAGTTGCTTTTGATCACCGAGTGTATCAACTTGAAGAGTTTGCCCTGTAAATCCACACCCACCTGAAAATGTCCGTCACTGCTCTGTGTGCCCTGTCAAATGTTAGTAGAGTTAGGTAGAGCGTAGCAATGTACAGCATCCCCCTTAGTCCCCCGGTTCTGCAGTCATCTCCATGCTGATGAGAAGAAGTAGACTACCTTTGTCATCTCCATGCCGATGAGTAGACTGCCTAGCTAGCACGCTCTTTGTAGCTGTCATGCTCCGAAATTCTACAATGATGTATTTCAATGTGATATTTTGTTCTTAGGATTTTTGTTGGACACCAGATGAGAACTTTCAATCCAAGATACTGGAACAACTTCTGGCTTTTTTGTTTGTTTGTTTTTCAATTTCTTCCAGGTATTATACAGATCTCCTAGGTGCAGAGTGGAACTTCTGGATGTATCTTAACATCGCTTGAGTTTTTCTGCTGTTGCAACAAAACAACAACAACAACAAATGAACAAGCAATCTGGATCTAATCTCTATGACACAAATTTGCCCTTCCATTCCATCAGTGTCAGTGTAACACGGGGATGAAGAGCCGGGTTCAAATCCTGGTTCAGCCACCTATGACTTAGTTCCTCTGTAAAGTCAAATCTTTCTGTTCTTCAGTTATTATTGTGTAAAACAAATATGCTAATAGTATTGACTACTTTGCTCGGCAGTGAATATTAGGCATGTAAATACAGGAATGTTTTCTGAGTCCACTTTAACTAGTAAAGTAAAAATCTTCAGAGTAGGTGATTCATACACAACAGAAATGGACTGCTTATGCGTTGCACCTGGAAAGAAAAGGTCAAGGCACCAACAAGGCACAAGGAGTGAAAACTGCTCCTCAGAGTGATGCCTTTTGTGTCCTCCCAGGGCACAGGGCACTGCTTTCATTCAGGAGGGCTCTGCCTTCATGGTCTGATCACCAGGGTGCCTCCTCTTCATACTGCCACTGTTGAACTCATTCATCAACTTTTAATGTTAGGGGCTCCGGAAATATTCAGACCACAGCATATGCTTAGAAGTGTTATTATATTGATAATAAAATTCTCTTAATTAACATAATTATATTAACAATTAGTTGTTCAATCTACTGTTTTATATGTTTGTGTCTGTGAGAGACAGAGAAAGAGGGAGAGAGAGCATGTGTGTGTGTGTGTGTGTGTGTGTGCACATAAGAAGGCCAGAGGTCAACATTGGAGCATTTCTCAATCACTCTCCACCTTATTTTTTGAGACAGGGTCTCTCAGTGATCTTGATATTTACTGATTCAGCTAGACCAGCTTGGTCAGTGACTCCCAGGAATCCTCCTGACTCCACTTCCCTTACACTGGGACTACAGGTATATTGTTGTAGTATGCCTTTTTCATGCATGTGCTGAGATTCAAATTCATGTTTTCAAGTTTGTGCAGGCACTTTACCCTAGCACCCCTAAAACATAAAACTTGGCTAACTAGCTAGCTTTGGAAAAAATTTTGTCTTATGAATGCAAGTCCTGTATTATGCCTCTAAGGATTTAAAAGTGCACATTGTAAGACTTTCTTGGTGTGTTATTATCTTGGGTCTTGATTCAGTTTGCTGGTTGAAGGCAGTGTCTTTCTTCTCTGGTAATAGACTCCTGTGAGCATCAGTGACTATGTTGTCCATGTGTGCTTGTTCAAACCTCAGTTGCTTATCTGTGGGAGAAGAACTGACTTGGGAGACACGGGCAGTTTGGGGGTGGGCTGTGTGTTCTTATTTCTTCCAGTGATTGGGGGCCAGCACCCAGGTACTAGCTTGTCCCACCAGCCCTAGCACCTATGCTCAGTGCTAGGGCTGAGGGAGGGGATGTGTGCTGCTGAGTGTCCTTCTTCTGCTTAACCTTCTTCATGTCGACTATCACTGTAGATCTACAATAAGCTTGCTGTTAACTGCTTACAGCTTGTTTGTCTCTGTGAGGGGAGGGTTTTATGTGAGCCAGGCTCTTCAGGGCCTAGTACTACTTCTACACAGAATGATCTATGCCGAATGAATCAATGAGTCAATGCTGATCCTTGGTTGCTCACCAGAATAATCATGCCTGCTCATGTAGCATCAGTCTGCTCAAATCTCACCCATAGGGTTTGTCTGTTGTCATATTAAATGGTCCATCCAGTCTTGCTGACTTAGATCATCGAGACGGTACTCTGGAGAAGTGGCCAATTGATGTTGCTTCTTTTAGAATCTTAATGTATGGTTAAAAATATTTTTCTAAGCTAGACATGGTGGTTCAGCACTTGGGAGGATCAAGAGCTCAAGGTCATCATTAGCTGTATAGTGAGTTATGGGCTAGCCTGGGCTTTTTGAACCCCTACACCTGTTATTTCTAATTTCCACATTATGATTTGAGTTGGTGCATAAATTTGTTATTAAACAACACTGAAAGTAACAGGGAAAAAGACACCTCCTTTGGCTTCTCTCTTTTGTAAATACTTTTACGACATAAGAATATTTCAAATGTATTAACATACCAAAGGCAATATAACAAACACCCATAGCTAGCAATCCATATATAACTATTCCAACCGTCTAATATTTCCTTCAGCTCTTAAAAACCCAAGGCTATTACTGTGCTTTCCTACCTTCTACTGTCTTCTCTTCTTTCTCCTCCCTGGCCGGCTGATGCGTGTACTTCCGACCGGTGCCAGGCTTACTCTTGTTATTGCATACTTAGCTCAGAGACAGCCAGCAGGCAGGTGTCCTTTCCCAGCTTTTAAGATGTGCCTAAAGGGTCTGAGCTCCCCCAGCCCTTCAGATCATGTCAGGAACAAAATTCCACCGTGGTCAAACCCTGACTCTCTATGTTCCTTGCTATTCTCTTTTTTCCTGTCAGTTACCATCCTTTATCTAAAACAATCTCCTTTGCTGACCTCTTGTTCCACACTTCTTGTATGCCTTTGTGAAGGTTATCATGTTATCTTGGCTGTTCTTTAAGAAGCTCAGAGCCTGGAGGAAGCAATAGCCAACTAAAATTTATTGGTAGAGATTTCACTCATTATTTTTATTTGAACGATTTCTTTTCTATAGGAGCAGGTATGTCTAGTGTTATGGGGTATTCACCAGAGAAGACTGCTCGGACATGGATTTAAGACAATAGAAAGTCATTATTAATCAGCTGCAACTACACTGGAATCCCAGTGTAGCCTAGAGCCTTCCTCAGCGTGAGCTTTTAAGCACAAAAACCCATGTTTTGGGTTGACATACTTGAGTTAACAAGAGCAGTTAGCCAGAAGCAAAACTACCGAAGCCAAAAAGCAAAGCTAGTTTTAGAGACTTTCCCAGAACTATGGACTTTGATGGATTAGTCCTTTGTTTTAGTTTTAGCAGGTGGTGCTGTCTACATACTGTGTTTTACAGTCTGAATGGTACTTCCATCATGGAGTCAGTGGTGCTAAGGTCCTGGGGCCTACTCAGGTCTGGAACCCTATTATATCCAGACTTTCTACAGTAGTGACATATATTTTCTTTTAAATTAGATAAAAAGAAAAAAAAAGACTGTTGATAAGAGCACAGATAGTATTCAGATGAGAAAAGAAATCAGAACGTTTATGCTGGAATAGCTGAAATCTGGTACGTACTTGGCCTAAAATAAGAGTTTGGTATTCCTCAACAGGGCATGCAAAGCTCTGCCTGATCCAACCTCTGCCCTCTCCTGGTCCTAAGATTTACCAACCTTCATCTGCAACTGTCTCCTCCCTTCACCTTTCTGTACTTCCAAGGGTGCTCTTGGCTGGTCCCTCTTTGAGGCTATTTCCAGTAACTAGCAGCCCTGCCTAAGCCTGGCTCTCAGCCATCGCTCTCTCTGCGTCAAGAGTCAGGGCTTCCTCAGTAGCAAGCACCGTGCTGTGTACTATTCTGCGCCAGATCTAAACCCCAGAGTAGAATTTTGTGCCAGTTATTAGTGCCAGGAGAAAAGATTTTTTTTTTTTGTGGTTTCACATAAGTCTGTACTGCTTTTCTATAAGAAAAAAATGTTTATCTCCCTCCCATGTTCAAGTTTGAAGCCTTAAAAATAGGCCTGCTGATGAATTCCAATACCTAATCTGAAATAATTTTCTTTCACCTTGAGACATATGTTGTCTAGAGGAAGGGTGTCTAGGACAGGGATAGTGGATGGAAAAGATGGCTTTTATGTGCTTCCTTCATAGTGGCTTAAGGTTCAGCACCTATTCATGAGCTGAATGATTTCATTAGGCACTCCAAAGTCAAGGAGAGTCTTTAAAATATTTTAAAACATTAAAAAAAAAAAAAAAGAAAGAAAGAAAACTCAGCATATAACCTTTAAAGGAAGAAGCTCCCAAACCGTTGCTGATATTTGAATGCTGTCGAAACAGCATTCTAGTTTCATGGTATGGTTCTAGAAATCATATGATTCACCATCATGAGCCCATCGAGCACTGAGCCATTTGTTCGTTCGTTCATGTAACTGATTCTGAAGCTCATATTTAGTTTACACGTCATGATTTTAAAAAGTACCCTGGCCTACGTGTTAGTATACACCTGTAATCTGAGTATTTGGGATATTTGCAGAATGACCAGGAGTTCAAGGCTCCACAGTGAATGGAAGCCTGAGGTATGTGAGATCCAAACCAAACCAAGCCAACCAACCAATAAAATAAATAAAAACAACCCCTTCTCCCATCCCAAAGAAAACAAAACAAGTAGCCAAGCACCCCCCCCCCCCAAGTGAGCTTGGCCTCTTGTCTTAGCAGATGTAACAAGAAAACTGTGGGAACTGTTGATGAATTGAAGTGAGCGGGGAAAGAGTTCAGCATTAATGTTTTCTTTCAACGTGTTCTGTGTGGTCAAACCAAGGGAGAGGAAGGGCTGAGCGGGGGGTTGGGGAAGTGACTTTACACTTTTGATAAAGAAAGTCCTGTTACCACTGCAAATACCCCGCTTTTGAGTGGAACAAAAACAACAGAAACAAACAAACAAACAAACAAACAGAAAAACCCAAACACCAAACAAAACAAACCGAGCGAAGTCAAATCGCTATCTTGTCACGTCTTTCTCTCCCAGAGCCAAACTTTCTCCATCTCTCCAGGTAGGTCACCGCGGAAAAGCCGCAGAGAAGGAGACGCTGGGTTGGGCGGCAGTGTGTCTGCCAATTACTGTCGGTCTGGGAGTCACCTGAAGCCTCCGAGCTACTGCACTCAGGAAGAAAGCTTCGCTTTTCAATTCGGTCATTTCCGTGGGGAATTGCGGCACGCGCAGGTTTTGGGTGTGGCGATGTCGAGACGGAGCTCACATCTCCCGGATTTCCACCTTCTGGCAAATCTATCCAGCAGAGAGAGAACCGCAGATGATCGGGGCCTGCCTTCCTGCCACCCAGGGAACGCGAACGGCCGCGACCCGGTGGCCACTGCCCAGCGCCGAAGCCTGGCTGCCCGCTCCGCGTGTGTGTGCCCCTCTCCAACTCGCCGTGCGCGGGGAGGCGGGTCCCCTTCCCTGCGCGCAAGTCCTTATATGCACCGGTTTCACCGGCCCGCCTTTACTCCAGTCCCACAAATAATTCATGGGGGAGGGAGGACGCTGCTGTCTCTCCCCCCCACCCCCCGCTGCTTTCCCCCCCACTACCCTTTTCACCACAGAGCATCTGAACGCAGTCAAGAAACCCCAGGATGCTATCGAAGGGCTATTTTGGTGCAGTGCACAAATTGAACACATTAAAAAAAAAAAATATTAGCCTTCGGGTCCCTGCACAGAGAGGTTCAAGATCGGCTCTTCCGATTCGGCACGATTAACCCGCAAAAGCTGGGGCGGAAAGGGTGTGTGCCCTTCCCCCACCTTGGCTAGTACAGAGGGACCCGGTCAGGAAGCGCGGCCTCTCCCCAGTCAGAGACCACGCCTCCCCCCCCCCCCCCCCCCCCCCCCCCGGGCCCCCCGGGCGAGGGACCGCCCCCCCCCCCCCTCCGGCCCCCCCCCCCCCCCCCCCCCCCCACTCCTCCCAGGAAGCGGTGATAGACAGTTCTGTGTGGTTCTCCACCCCCACCCCCCCAGCTGAGTGGAGGAGTTGATATGTCTCATTATAACAGCCAATGCAGCCGCCATCCACGCACAAGCAAAGAAGCATGTCCCATTTAAATACACCCACGCAGCCCCAGCGCCCTTAGCCGATCAGGGCGCGCAGCCCACACGCACCGCGGCTTCGGGCTTGGAGATCCGCGCAGGTCGGGCTCCGGGATCCCGAGGATCGACGCTCTCGGAAGATCGGGATCGGACTCTGGTTGGGGCCCGGGTGGGCGGGGGAGGCTGGGCTCCGGGCCTCTCTGGCCGACAGCCGCATGAGGACGCGAGCGAAATAGACCAGGGTGGAATTGCCAAGGGAGCCGCTTCGGGGTGGTTTTGGTCCATTTCTCCCGCGAAGAGTCGACATGGCGAGCGACTCCCCAGCTCGCAGCCTGGATGAAATCGATCTCTCCGCCCTGAGGGTGAGCCGAACGCGTTTTTTTTTTGTTTGTTTTTTGTTTTTTTTCCCCCCTTTCTTTCCATCGGTCTGGGGCCGGGAGAGGGAACGTTCCTAGCCTTCCTGTCCTGATTCCGGGGCAGCTGAGGGGTTCTAGGCTGAGCCCCTTCCCCTTACGGCAGGGGTTGGGTTGCCCTTGTGCCCCTTGGCTGTTCCCGAGGCTCCGCGAGGAAGCTGCTGGAGCCTATGTCAGTTTCATCTTCCATCAGTGTAAGAGTATTACATGAAAGGCTGGTGTGTGTGTGTGTGTGTGCCCGGGCAATGCCAAGGCGCGAGACCCGGCTGCTCCTTGCTGCAAAAATAATCTCCTTGAGAATAAAGGCACTGGCCCCTTACGTTTGCCAGCTACCTGCAAGATGCCACCGTGAACCTAGCTGTCCCCACCAGTCGACCCTGCCGCTCCAAGGGGGCAGTGATTGCTGTTCCGGGCTGGTGTGGTAGATGGTAGCTGACTCCCCTCCCGGGTTCTGCCTCCCGTGCCGGCATTCCGGCTCAGCTCTCCCTCTAAGACGCCGGTGTGCACTCACCTTTATCTGTGGTTTGAACTCAGCCCTGCCTATGCCTTTCTGTCTCGGTGACTGTGACCTTTCAGTTTTATGGCTGAACTTCAGCAGGTGAAAGGGACCTGAGCAGCTTCTCCCCACCACACCGGAACTCCCTGGAGAGACTGTGGTGTGTGTGTGTGTGTGTGTGTGTGTGTGTGTGTGTGTGTTTCCCAGGTCTGTGACCAGTCCTTTGTAGCCCCCCTCCCCCCAGCTCCATCGCTTTGCCTTTACCTTCTGAAACACCTCAGACGTTGTTCCATTGTAGTGGACAAGACTTTAGTGATCTAGAATCCATTTTGCTGTTGTTTGGAGATCAGACTGCCAGGAATCCCATTGCAGCCTCGACGCTTCCCCGCCCCCACCCCTAATCCCAGCACACTCCTTCGGGGAAGGGGGCTGAGCGTTCTTGCCATTTTAATTAGATGCTGCCTGCCAGGAAGGGGGTGAAGAGGGGTGGTGGCGGGTGGCAGCAGCAGGGATCTGAGAAAGATTGGACACCGATCTCCGTTCGACCCGTTTCTCCCTTTCCTAAACTGAAAAGAAAATAAATAGCAAATGATTATGCTTGATGCCCGGAGGGTGGGTGAGACCAAAGAGATGGTGGCTCATGTCACCCACTGCCATTAGGGTTGGAAGTTCAGTGGTCCTCTGGAACAGATTTAGTATCAATCTAGATACTAAATCTTGAGGCCGTTTACCTGTGTCTCCAAAGCTTTTCCTGCCCTTTCCTCTTTCTCTACAGATGTTTTAAGGAGCTAGATACCTGTCTGATGGAAGTGATACTTTTTCTTCCTGCTCTGTGAGCCCTTCGGGCTCTGTGAGCCTCTTTTCCTCCTCCTCCTTGAATCCTTGCCCCTTTCTTTATCTTTTGGTCCAGAGCGGTGAGGATTCAGAGAGGCAGTGCTCAGGTTGAGAACTGACTGCCCTTTGAAATGGGCTGTTGTGATAGTGGGACAGCAAAAGCTCATTCATGCATGATTACAGTAAGCTGTCTGTTTCTCTGGTGCCCAAAGGCCACATCCAGAACCAGTGGGTAGCTGAGCGTGGGGGATGGGAGTAGAGTGGGCGCCCTGAACAAGTGTGGCTTCCGCTCCTTTGCTCTGCTTCTGTCTGGGAGTTGCTGTGGGTGAGTTAATCAGGTGGCCAAGTCGCCCAGACTTGGGGAAGGAGGAGTGGCTAAGAGGTAGAGGCCTGAACAATGAGCCAGGCTTGTGATTTAGCTGAGCAGGAATCTTCCTGATGTGATTTTGAAGTTGAGCAGGGGGCATTGGCTCCTTTGGGCAAGGTTTTCTGAGATTCCAAGCTCAAAACCTGCCAGAGGAGCTACTTGCTTCACACTTGGGGAGACCAGCACTTTGCTATCGGTTTTTGGAACAGATACCTTTTGCAGGATTCACTAAGATTGCTCTTTGTCACCCAGGAAGCTCAATGAATTCTCTGCACTGTGGTGTGCAAAGAGCTAGGACAGCAGCTACTCCCAGTGCCTGGGTTGCTGCCGGCTGGAACACTGTCTGCAGATGGGCAGACAGTTGTACTCAGCTGGCCTGGGAGCTTCAGGCAGTCTTGTGGCAGGTGAGGCGTGTAGGTAGGTTATCTCCAAGAGCTAGTAGGTGGTTCACACAAATGAGAGCATAGATGATAGCTGCCTCCCCAAATCTGAAGAGGCTGGTTCCCAAGCTTGCAGGAAAGTCTGTAAGCTGAGCACCTCTTGAGGAAAGCCTGACCCCTGAAATGCAGGCAAGGTCAGTGATGCAGCCCTGCCAGCCCCTCAGGGTCCCTGGGGCTCTTTAATGTATACAATCAATGCTCTTTGTAAACCCTGGGCTTGGTGGTTTAAAAGCAGATCCTGTCTAGAGAGGCCTTTCTCCTTCTGACTTTGGGGGCTTATTGTTCTCAGCCAGTGATCCCAGACTGGGCCCTCGTCTAAAATTCCCCCAAATAGGAACAATGCACGATTCAAACCAGAGCGACCAGTACCAGTCCCTGTCATAAAAATCATGCAAGATTTGGGTGGGTTTTGTTGTTGTGTAGTTCAGTATTTTTGTTTGCTTGGTTTGTTTTTTTGATTAGAAAAGAAATTATCAGAATCCCTTGCCTTCTCAGAGTTCATGAAACTCAACTGAATCTTGGGTGTTGGGTAGGGGATGGTTTTGTAGGTGAGAGCTGGGACAGAATTGTAGAACCCTGGGCCAATCCCTTCATTGGAACACTGGGAAAACTGAAGCACAGGGAAGCAAGTTTGTTGTTCAAGGTCACATAGCCAAGGGAAGATAAAAGTAGCCAGAGGAGAGAATCTATGATTCTGGACTCCACTATCTTCTTTCTGAGGACACATCATCTGTAGCTGAAAAAAAAAAAAAAAAAAAAATCAATGAAATGTTTTCTGCTTGGAGGTGTGGGGGAAGGGCAAGAGAAATCACTTCACTAGGGTTGTGTATTTTTTTTTTTTTTTTTGTCTTGAGAGTGGAAAACCTGCTGGAAGCAGCGAAGTTATCAACACAAATGACCAGAGCGATCAGGCACCTTTGGAATTTATCTTGTCTAGCCTCCTTTCAGCCCCTCTGTGCAGGCAAATGGGGATCTAAATCATGCCGGGCAGATGGTGTCCTGCACGGATAACCTCCCTCAGTAACCCGTCTCCATCTGAACATGTCCCCAGGGGCCCGTCCAGACGCGCACATTATTCAGATGCCTCCGCGTGTGAGGTTTCTGGTGTCCACGCGTGCTCTGTACAGTTGCTGCAGATGCGGATATTACATAGAGTGATGTGGTCATAAACTCTATCTGTGTGGGCATATGAAAGTGTGTATACCAGACTACTGCAAACAATCCTCTTATTCAGACCTGCGCTTGAGTCATGCCTGCTTCTGACATCACTGTATTACAAGATGAAATTATCCACCATGACTCTCTGTTGCCTGTGAGGTGAGCTCAGCCCAGAAGGGGTTTTGAAGATGACCGCACTGGTTTTCCTCAGCTTGGGCCACGGGGTCAGGCATTCAAGGGCCAGGGTTTCTGACCTGGTGCTTTCAGCTTGGTGCAGGACTCAGATATACTTTTTTATTTAATCAAAATTAGGTGATTTACACCTGCCTTTCTCCTCTGCTCTCATGAGCCTTTCTGGTCCTAGCCACTCTTCTTCTCTTCTTCTTCCTGCACTTCCCCCATATGTGTGTAGTGTCTGCATATGTAAGTTGGCACATTCTTGTGTACAGGTGGCATACTTTTGTGTGTGTGCGTGTGAATGTGGGGCCAGAGGTCAGTGTCAGCTGCCCTCCTCTATTTCTCTGTACTTTATTAATAAATTAAATTTTTTATTTGTTTGGGTTTTTTGAATTCATGTCTGCCCTTGCACCACGGGCTTGCTGGGAGACTGCAGAGACTGAGGGTGGATGACTGATGCCCTGGAACTGGAGTTACAGATGGTTGTGAACTCCGGTGTGGGTGTAGGGACCCGAACCTAGGTCTTCTGGAAGAGCAGCCTGGTCCTTTCTACTTTCTCTCACTAACCCTGGAACACCCTGAGCAAGACTAGCTTGCCGCTAAGCCTCAGGAATCTTCCTGTTTCCATCCCACCCCTTTATGTATCACTGCCACAGACAGCTTTTTTTGTATGTGGCTGCTGGAGACCTAAGCTCGGGTTCTTAGGCTTGTGTGGCAAACACTTACCCAGCTGAGCCATATCTCCAGCCCTGTAGCCATGTCTTTCTCCTTCCAAACCCAGACGGAAGAATTAATCCCATTTGGAAAGCTTACACATGTATCCTGACTGCACTCTTAGTGTGTATGGTACCAGGAGTGTGAGGTATTTTTGTTTTTGTTGTTGTTGTTGTTTTCCCCTCCTAAGAAGAGATTTGTCAGGGTCCACATGGAGTCATTTGAATCTAGATATCTCATTAGTTAAATAAATGTTTTGGTGAGTGAATGGACAGATGGGTGAGTGTATGCGTGAATGAATGAGTGAGTGAATGAACAAATGAGTGAATATAAGCATGAATGAATGCATGAGTGAATGAGGTGAGATGGTCACAAGATTTGGGTTCTCTGTGCATATCATATTAGTTCTGTGCCTTGGGGCATGCTACCTAAAGTGTCAGCAGCGCAAAGATGGAATGACAAACTGCTTGCCTTTATCCCTCTGGATTCCAAAATCAAAGGCTTTATTACAGAGCATTTAACTCACAAGGCAACATACAAATATGTCATTAGATAGAATTTTATGGGAAACTCAGGCCCACCATCATTTCATTCAAATGATTGCACTTGGTAGAAGATGCTGACGGACGTTTTTGTTGGTTTGTTTGTTTAATTGTTTTTGTCTTTTGAGACAGATTATTAAGATATAGCCGAGGACGCTGTGAAACTCACTCTGTACCCTAGACTGGCCGTGAACTCTGAGTTGTTTTGCCTTAGCCTCCTAAGCGCTGGGATTACAGGTGTGTGCCACTGTGTCTGCTTTAGAAGGCAAGTGTGTGTGTGTGTGCACATGTGTCCATGCCTGTGGAGGCCAGAGGTTGGAAATAGGCCCTTTCATCAATTGATCTTCGGGGAACATGCCTCTTTTCAGTTGCACCGAAACACACTAGCTTCTGTGAGCATACGACCCTGCACACTTTCTCAGGTCCTCAGCTGAGCTTGGTTCTAGGATAGACATCCATCATCCAGGAGAAGGCCTCACCCAGAAGCCTTTCAGTGTTTCTAGATTAGCATCAGTCATCAGCCTCATTCATTAAAACATTTTCTCTTTCTTGTCTTTTCTCCTCTTCTGTATGGATGACCCATTATTCAAATGCAAACACCTTTATTGTGTCATGTCTTTTCATAGTTTTTATTTTTTTCAAGGGGCATGGATACACTTAAAATGATACACTGATATCCCAGGGCTTAAAACCTGGTCAGAGGTCTCCTGAGTCTTAAAGAATTCTTGAAACATTATTAATTCATTACCCCAGAGCACTTAATTAAATTTGGTCTAAAATGAGATTTTAGTAAAGTTGCGTGGATTGATAACAGCATCTTAAAATGGCAGTAGCACAGCTGTCTCCCTCTACATGCATTTGCTGTTTTTCTGAGACTTGGAGCAGGTATCATTTATTATTTTGTGATGATATGGCTTCTAATAAAATAGAATGCAGCTGTAGTTATCATAGTTATCAGAATATCAGCACAACAGGCATAAGCATTTTTAGTATTCATTATTAAGTGAAGTAATCTTTAACACAAAGTCTAATACAAGTCTTCATTCGCTGTTTGCATAATTATCTACTT